TTTTTCGTGTTCGCCAAAGTGGGCAGAGGCCGGCTTTTTGTTCTTACCACATTTTGACGTCATCTGTGATCTATTACTGAACAGACGCACGGCAACATGGAATCTATTTGTTAATATAATATGTTGAATAATATTCTCATATTTTGATTGGTTCTTACTTATGATCAACTGCAGGACAGACGCATAGATTACGTCATAACAATTTATTCCTTTATTATATAATACAAATAGATTTCATGTTGCCGTGCGTCTGTTAAGAAATTGATCACAGAAGTCGTCAAGATGTGGTAGGAACATTGATGACACACTCGGCTATCGCCCCATGTGCCACTTTTTTGTTCTTATTACCACAATTTGACGTCTTCTGTGATCACTTACTGAACAAACGCACAGCAACATGGAATCTATTTGTTAGTATTTCTCCTTTCTTTTTCTTTTTCCTGCTACAGAAACACAAGAATTGAATCTCTAGACCCGAGAAGTTCAAGAACATCAGAAAGTGATAGTAGTTTCCTACAGGTGAAGAATCGGTACCGACCTAGTCCTCCATCGGAACATAATTCCAGTGACTCTGTCATAATCCCAGGAAATGTCGAGGCAACTGCTTTAAAGACAGTACATTCCTCAAGTGTGGTAACATTTGAGGTATCTGCAGCGTCCGAGTGGAGCCTTCACAAGGCACCTCGTTCCAGGAGAGACAGGCAAATTGAAGATCCAAGTGACCTTGAATTACCAGCTGTGGGTAGTATTCCCAACAGTGGTGGAGTAGACACTTCCAAAAGCGGGGCGGGCGCTTTAGCAAATGTTACGGAAACTCAGACAGAAATAGAACAAGGCAGGCGAGATCCTGGCAACACAAGACTTTGTTATCAAAGCCAAAGGACTACGAGATCTTCAAAAATTTACCCCGAACAAAGTGCGAGTGGAAATAATTTTTGTAAACAATCAGAAGCTTGGACTGAGGGAAGACATAACAGTCATGGCTGCACGAGTCGTCCAGCCACTGCTGTAGGTTCATCATCCCGAGATGACAGAGACGCGCGGACCCAGCAGTCCACTGATGCGCCAAAGAAGGTTACGTTTACGTTACCGGCTAAACCTGCTTCAGCAGGAAAAACTGCTGTGGTTATGGATGATGCTTCTTCCTTGAGAACATTAAGTTCACACTCGAGATCGTCGCCAGGCGTGGAGTCAATGAGCAGGATTTCTACATCACAAAGCATGCAAGAGTGTGACTCAGAGTCTGAATGCTGGTGCAGTTTTCTTAAGACAAAGCTTCAATGGCTCTCACTGGCATACTTTGCAAGACGTTACTATGGTGTGTGGTTGCAAAAAATGCCTGTCAAGGTAAACCAGGTCTACCCTTATTCGTAACAGGAATTTGAAGTAACCACGACAGTGACCGGCCTCGCCGATCCTCGACTCACGATACTCTTAAGTCATTTAGCTTGTTTCTCTTTGTCAAAGCTATCTCGAAACTGAATATAGAGCTGAGGACAGTAGCGTTCAATTGAGAAAATGAAATTTCAAAGATTAGCCGTCGTGGTTCACGTTCTCCAGAGAACGTAGAACTTTGTCATTTCACGTTGTTGTTTTGCAGAGGACGGCAAAGAAATGTACCAAGAAATATAACGCACGTGCACAACCATTTTCCTTAGAATCGTTAACATGACGAGCAATAACAAAGAACATATTTCTCTTTTCCAGGTTGTTGTGATAATATTTTTCCTCAGTCTCCTCGCCGTTGGAATTTACGGCGCACTCCAAGTTGAAAGTGGCCTGGACCTCACAGATGTTGTACCAAGAAAAGGCGTGGAATACAAATTTGTCGAGGCTAGGCTCAAATATTTTTCGTTTTATCCAGTGGCGCTCGTTACACAAGACTTCGACTACGCTAATCAGCAGAAGAAATTGTTGTCCTACTATAATGAGTTTAAAAACGTAAGTGGTTAGAAATGTTATGGCCAGAGAAATTTAAAAACGGCGTTTTCACTCTGAAAACGCATCAAATGTTTTCCGTCCACACTACGCCGGAGAAATTTGAAAACGCAACTATCACGGGTCATTTTGGATTTCTGTTTGAGGAAAACTCAGACGGCCGGGGAAATCACATGATGTCATCGTTTTCGAAAAGCTCCGGTTTCGAAATGTTCTCAGTCCACACTAAAAACGCTGGCGTTCTCAGATTCCTCCGGATTGAAGAGCGTTTTCGAAAAGCTCTGTTTTCGTGACGGATTAGTGTGCTCCCTTTTCAAATTTCGTAGTGTGGACTGGGCCGCACTGTTGTATAGAGTAGGTAGGGTATTGTCGAAAGAAGCAACAAGTTTTTCTTTTCCGTTTCTTGTCACCAGATTTTCAATATAACTGGAATTCCAGGCTCAAAAGAAAGTCCCAAGTTTTGGTTGACGTCCTTTAGAGAATGGCTAAATGGTAAGGGATGTAAAATGAACTAGAAACAGTTGACACTACAGTTGCCCCGCTGTGAAGAACAGGTCTGATAAGCCTCAGAAATGTAATTTTCGCTGATAATGACCATAATATTAATCTGGCAACCAGGTTAGCTGAACATCTTTGGCGACTGTGTACTGTGGATTTCTTTTGTGCTTCCAACTGACTTGTCATGTAAGCTAAGTCTGCATACAAGCCAAGTGGCCCATCATACCAGCGCTTATCCCGGTTTCTGTAGCATGAAGCGACTAGGACCATTTCTGCTTCCCCCTGGATCGAATGTTAGTCCATCGCAAGGTTACCGCCAGCATTAAATTGGCCCTTACCCATTTATATACCTGGGTGGAGAGAAGCATTGTGAGAGTTAAGTGTCTTGCCCAAGAACACATCGCTACGTCCCCGACCAGGGGTCGAACCCGGACCGCTTGATCCGGAAGCGAGCGCACTAACCATCAGCTAAAATTTGGTTCGTCATACGCTGTGTCTATTTGTTCTTTTTTGTTAGGGAGATTTTGCTTTCGCGTGGCCGAAAGTCCTTAATTTTATGCGTTCATTTCTGTTCGAGAGCGTTTCGCGAGTGTATGCATGATTTCGAAACTATTATACAGTGGATTTTGTGCCCTTTTCTTTTATGTATACTGGTTGTTGAGTTAAAGTTCAGTGCTGCTCCGGGACGACACTAGACATCAAATTACGTTTGTTGTGCGTTTTTTATTTGTCTCAATAGAGATGGGTAGCTTGTTCAAACCAAGGGAAAAAGCGCTGATCGTTCCCAAATGTTTACATTCGCTTACTCCTTTATTCTGCTTAGTACACAAAAGAATAACTAGCCAGTGATTCCGGGAATTTCTAGTCCGCGGGGGGCTCCGATATGAAAAGGACGGGGTGGGGGGCTCGTCGGAAATTTTGAAAAGAACCCCTCCGAGTTACCTAAATCCTGTCTTGTGGTGTGGTTGAAATGTTTTTCACCTCTAAGAGTACCAATTCTAAAACAACACATAACCTCCTGTCATACGTTTTTCGGCTTAACACCCTTGAAGATTCTGCAAAGGCTCCCGCCGTGGGCCTTTTGAGGCTGAACACCCTGAGAGGTATCAGAACTGCTTTTTTAATCCCTGAAAGGCACGCCGAGAACCTCCGTCCTCTTTTTAAGGGAGTCCCTGCANCCCCCCCCCGCTCGGATATCTAGGCTAGGTCATTATCACTGGATTATTCCGCGCCCGCTCTGTTCAGACAGCATCAAGATTTTTTAGTAACAATATTTGTTGTCTATGTAGATACTCAAGTATCATTTGATCAGGACTGGGCCAATAATTCTATCACATACGCCGGCTGGTACGACAATGCGACGAGCACTGGTGTTATTGCCTACAAATTACTCTCACAGAATGACAACTCAGACAAAATTGATAAATCAAAGGTAGGCACCGACGGCTGAATTTTAACCTATGGGTAGGGGGTTTGAGTAACAACATAGTACAAGTTTGGAGTTGTCTCCGCCCAAGGGGGACACCCGTATGAAAAGGTCAGTGATGTCTGTCGTCTCGCTTAGGGATATAAATCAAGGATTCTGGTCTTACCTTGGGTGTTCATGACGAAACCCCACTACTTTTAGCCGAGATAGGTGTCATTCAGGGTTTAATTCAAATTTTCCGAAGAGCATCCCCGACCGGGAGTTCCCCCGGGGGTGCCCGCCCGACGCGCTGCACGCACCACCCCGACTCACTCCCTACAGTCCCTCCTCGAGTGTCTGCTACGTAAACTGCAGAATTTTTTCGGCATTCTGAAAGCAACCTCGGCAAATTATGACAGGAAACAAGAGAAGATGTAGAGTAAGAGAGTTCATTCCCCATATAGGCATTATTCTTAAGGGAAACCGTCTCAAGTTATTTCTAGATATGGTTTGTAGTTCTCTCGACGATGTATTGCGTGGATGTTTCGTGGAGGATAAAACTCCACGCGTGTAAAATTCACGTCAAAGGATCGGCTAATTCTAATAGTAATCTAAAAATAACTTGAGAGGGATCACCTTAGGAATGAGTCCTTTATGGGGGACTAATTCGCTTACTCTTCATGCTCTCTTGGAGGAAACCATTACGAAGTGCGAAAGAATGATTATGGCCGAGATGGAAATAACTTCAAGTATGGGCAAACTTAAGCCTACACTACGCCGCAGGAATTTTAAAACGCAGCTTTATTTCTACGGTTAGGCCTACCGTCGACACTAATCCGTCACAAAAACGGAGCTTTTCGTGACAATCTTTAAACCGGAGAAATTTGAAAACGCCGGCCTTGTGTTTTATTGTGGACAGGAAACATTTTGAAAACACAAATCTAAAATGACCGTTGATTGTTACTTTTTTAATTCCTACTGCGTACTGTGGACGGAAAACATTTGATGCGTTTTCAGAGTGAAAACTCCGTTTTCAAATTCCTCCAGCGTAGGTGGACGGGGCCTGGAACACTGAGGCGCCTTGCAATGAGTTTGATTGAATGTTTTTCACCATGAAATGTAACCTTGGTGATCAATTATGGGTGTATTTGTGCTTTACAGGTTCGAAACTATAAACTTGTCAGCGATGATGGAATTATTCGTCCAGAAATATTTTACAAAGCTCTGACAACTTGGACCAATGAAGACTTCTTGGGGTACCAATTCTCACAAGTATGTTATAAAAGCAACGTATTTTAAACACAGTTTAACACTCGAAGAAAGTCGTAACACTCGAAGAAAGCGAGCCATCAGTTAGTTGTGTTAAGACCATATCTGTAATCCTGTACTGTGACAAGTTAATACGTGCATTTCGATAACGTAATATCCGTCTATTTCTTGCAGGCCGTCATCAAACCAAAGACAGTCAACTGGACAAACATCAAAAACAAACAAAATGACAAGGCAATGAAAGGTAATTTTCCATGCCAGTTTCTTCTTTTTTTTTTTTTTTAATTAACACTGAACTATATCACTTTGTTACCGAACCAGTCTCCTTTCCAGACTTCCTATTTTCAATACCGTGGCGTCATGACAATCTTCTCTTATTCTCTCCACGCCATAGAGTGTAAACGGTGAGAAAAGTAAAGGATTGTGGGGAATAACTGCATACCAGAAATGAAAGAGAAACTGTCAGTTAACATTAGTAAAAATTAGCGTGGTTGTAGACACAACGTAGAGCCTGTAAACTGAATTATAGCCAAAGGAACTGAAGTAATCTGAAAATGAAACACTTTAAAAGAATTTTTTTTAGCCTTACGCTCGTTCTTTTTCAGTGCCCACTGCCAAACCAATCACATTTGCGAATAACAACTTTAATGTTATTGGCCTTAACGAAACCAAGGATTTTGTGAAACTGATTGAGGTGAGTTCGCGTGCTTTCATGGAATTTGACTAATTTAAAAGAATCAAGCAATCCAATAACGAAGCGCGCGAAGTCTAAAAAGAGAATGCAAATTAAACGCGGGAGCCCCGCGAGAGCCAGACAACATAAGCGTGTTCTGAGAGAAATATGGGAAAATGAACGCAAAATTTTCGTTTTAAAAATTGTTTTAGGAACACTTGCTTACGCGCTTGAAAAAGCGTCAAATTTTCCATCATTCCGTTTTGTTTGTCTGAGTTTGTCTGAGTTATGACGTCACTCGCGCGCTTCGCTATTCTGTTTTATTTTCGTCAACGTCAAAAACCGTTTAGTTAATATCGCGTACCAAAGTTTCTTCTTTCTAAGGGAAGATTCTACGACATTGTAGCACCATGTAATTTAGAACTGTGGATTATTAGGTAAAATTTCTCCACCGCTTTTGAAGCCAACTCGTAATATCTATGACTAGTCCATACGGATATGGTTGCGATTATATAGGCATTGAAAATAAAACCGTTTAAGCCAAAAAAGTTTTGTAATTATGTAAGAAAATGAGACAGAAATATAATTCGCGGAAGTAAATCACTTTTAAGCGCAAAACCCTCGCACGTGGTTTTTGGCAACGCCTCTATTAAAGGCTGTCAAAGTAATCGATGAATCGAATTATACACCCACCTTTGTTGTCTGCCAAATTGTCTTTAATTTAGAAGTACTTGTTCGACTCTAAACGCGAAAGATCAGTCCATCACTTTGGCAGCCATTTCAAAATTTTTACTCATGAACGACTGTTGTTCAATCATCGCTTTCATCTTCCCAGGCCGTTCGAAAGATCTGTGACAAGTACTCAGACGACGGATTACCCAACTACCCTAGTGGTGTGCCCTTCACGTTTTGGGAGCAGTACATCTGGCTGAGAAGGCAAATGTTGATCGCGATTTCTATTTCATTGGCGGTGAGCTTCGTTGTCATGGTGATCATTCTGTTCAACATCCGGGCAGCTGCTGTTATTGTTCTTGTCCCGACAATGATCATAGTGGAAGTGTATGGCTTTATGGGTCTCGCTGGTATAAAAGTCAGTGCTTTTCCTGCAGTTAGAGTTATTTTGTTCGTTGGAGTCGGTATGGAATTCACTGTACACATGTCTATGGTATGTTGTCTTTATCTTGTGATAACAATTTTTTCGATTGGATCGTTCAAAATAAGACGTTTATAGGCTTAGGAGAAAACCGAAACTACGACACCTGTTTGTTATAGTTACGCGATCTGAGACTGGAACCGAAAACTCTACAGAGATCCGTGACGACTGGTTACTGTTGCGCGGGAAAACATCCAACTTGTGCCTAACGCAGGAAAACAAGCAACGTGTGCTAAGCGCGGGAAAAACATGCAACGCGTCCTAAGCGCGGGAAAAACATGCCACGTGTGCTTAGCACGGGAAAATGTTCCCAGACCAAGCCACGATTATTTAGAGCGATTTTCAATTACGTGTCGTAAAACCAAAATCAAACCAATTACTTACCAATTAGATTACTCAGCTAATCTCAAACCGTAGTAAAACCAAAACCAAAACCAAAACCAAAGTAATTGTCTGATTACTTTCGACATTCAATTGAAAACTGCTCAAAGCTTTGCGCCTAATTGGTTTAAAGTGCACCTAACCCCAAACATTTTCTTTCGCTAAAACAATAAAGCTTATTTTGTGGAGTAATTTGCCGCAAAAATCTTGCGATTTGGTTAAATCCTCGAATTTCTGTGCCCCCTCGAAACCGAGTTTCGAATGGTTCGCGACCGCGCATGGGGAATCTGGGGAGAGTTAAAGCTGTGACGTCAAATCCAGAACGAATCTTCGGCTGTCCCAGTCAGGTCTTTTACTTTGTCCGAGTGTAGAAGCCTTGGGTTATGTTTTCTTTGCCACTGCTTAGAGAGCTTTGCAAGCATTTGTAGATACATGTAGCAACTAGTCTGTAACGTCTTTTAGTCAGTCTTTACCCAGTACCATAAAATGACCGAGTCCTTCACTTTGCAGGCATTTTTCCACGCCCTTGGCGACAGAAACCGAAGAATGCAAAAGGCAATAGAACACGCTTTTGCTCCGACTGTGAATGGTGCTATTTCTTCTTTACTAAGTGTTGTGGTACTAGCAGGATCCCAATTCTATTTTGTATTCAGGTAAGAGAGGTTACCAAGCCGGCTTTTCTCAGTAACATATTTTATAATGACACTTAAAAGATAATTCTAACCGTTGTTGTTTCTTTATGTTGATTGTTTAAGAAAGACGCAGCAAATGGCTTAATAGCCGGTTAAGTACGTTGGTAGAGAAGTTCTCTTTATTAAAGACTGTGTAAAGAGAATTCCTTGCAATATTAAAGCGTTTTTAGGGCTATTTCTCTCGCTCACTTTTCGCTTCTTGATCCGAAAGATCTTTGAGCATTGGTATTGACCGACCATACTCTGTACCATTATTTTTGTGCTGATTCCTTGGGTTACTGTATCCGCTCTCCTGACACTCGTGTAAAATGAATTCCATAACCTTATGCAAATCCTCAACTCTTCGCTTTACAGTGGACCCCGCCTTAACTCCACCTCGTTATTACAGTCACTTTATTCTGGCCCGAACAAAAGCTCAGTCAGTAATTTTCTTATTTAAAAAACTCCTTTAAACACTCGCTAATATGACCAGATTTTTGTAGCCTGTTGGTGACCGGATTAACGGAGTTCCACTGTATGATATGTAACTTAAGGATCGTCCCTTTAAAGACTTTTTAATGCATTTCTTTCGCAGATACTTTTTTATCCTCCATGTGGCCTTGGTACTGATCAGCACATTGAATGGCGTGGTGTTTTTACCTGTTGTTTTGTCCTTAGCCGGTCCAGGGCCAGTGGTAAGTCGTAATAATTAATCATTGAGGGAAACATGTTAAGAAGAGCGAATTACTGGCATGATTTTCCAAAATCAAGACACTGGTCATCAAAAACAGTGCGGTAACCTCTCTTCACCGAAGAGTTTCGAAACGTTCGTTTTAGAAAGCCGCTGTGCGAGGTGAGTGCAGGCACAAAGTTAACCTTGCGCCTGCACTCATATCGCTCAGCAGATTCTCCCTACCCGAAAACCCTTTGAGCCTCTGCGGAATGGAGAGTGCAAATTGCTACGAGGTCGTTGCACGAGCCTTAAGTCTGGAAACTACTTTATTAAATGAAATCAGCAAACGAAATATCAATCATGCACTCTAAGTCCAAATCCTTTTCAAGACGTAAAATTCTCCACCTTAATCCTAACAAGAAGCAGACTTTGTGATGAATATAAACAATGAAGGTATTTGGTACCACAAACTTACGCATGCCGTGTAAACACTATCAAGTTGTGACTTTTATTTGTAAGTTTATATTTTTTTTTCGGTTTGTGTCTATCATTGCTAGGTAACAGAAATCCCTACGCCGGCCATCACCCCAAATCCGCTCGCCATTCAGAACCCCTCTGCGGTTAGGTATGTTTATAATGAAGCGGAACTGAACACTGTTAAAGAGGTAAACAATAAGTCAAATGATCATGGAGCCGATCTGGAAAGAACCAACGAAAACGGGGCTAAAGTGGAGTTATCCGATAATGAACCGCGGAGCTCAGACATGACGACGGGCGAGGGGCTACGCCCATTTGTACTGGCTTGGACGTGATGAAGGAGGCTTTGTGAAGATTAATCGTTCATAAGTACGAACACCGGAAAGAGGTTGCTGGCCATGCCTCACTTGACATGACAGACATCCTCGTCCCAGTGCCCCTCCTCAGATCGAACCGAGAGCTCTGAAGAAGACTACGCCCAAAGATATAAAGTATTGGTCAGCTTTTCATAACAGGGCTAAATAAAACCTTACTCGTCTAAATTCAGAAGATATTTAGTTCTGTTGATATCTAACAATTTCTTTTTAAAGCAAAGTGCGATTGTAGTTCTTTCAAGTTTCTTCAAGTACAACATGGGGATTTTTTAATAAGGACGCGAAATGGAAGTTTCAAGGTACTATTTTCAAGGTGGCGGCCATACATATTTCATGAGAAAAACCCTTTTTACACAAATAACTTACCCATGATTGTACTTTGCCTTTTCATGTTTATCACTAACTCCCTATTCTGCAGTCTTCTTTTTCTTTCGCGTTGTAATTTAAAAGATATTCTAAATTCGTCGTATTTATATCACATCGATTAGCGGTTAAGTTTTATGATGGATGCAGGACATCCATGGCATGTTTATCATGTGTGTATATTTATCTAAAGATGATTACTTTCGTATTTTGAAACGTTATCGTGTATGATTTACAAAAATATAATCTAGAGTGTAAATATACAAGAGAAAGAAGTTTATCTAACCGCCAGTTCATTGATATATATTGAGAATAATAGCCCTTGTGTATGTTGACATCAAACAAGCTAATTTCTCCACTAAGCTTTGCGTTTGAAAATTCAAATTGTAAATTTTATCGTGAACCAATAGGCCATTTTCGAGTTTCCTTGTGCCTCTGTTTCAAAACGAGTCTTCGTTCAAAACCTTTCTTATGAAAATGAGGTTGATTTGCATGAAAATAAAGCTGTGCGTTGAACAAATTTGATATAAATGGTTTCGCACGAACTGAGACTTGTTTTGACAGAGGCAAAACTGAGACATCTCGGAAATAGCCTATTCCCAAAGCAGCAAAGATGAAAAAGATAACGCTCGTAAAAACAACACGAAGGAGCCAGAGGTTTTAGAAAATTTCGCTCAAACAAGGCTTGGTGGTGAATTTTGAGCTTGTGATGTTATCACGCATAAGACCTACTCGGATGACAAAGAATTCATTATTTCGTTTATGAAATGTTCCATTAGAATGTTAATATTTTCAAGGGAGATAGCAATCATCTATCGTTTTGCCTTATGTAGATGTAGATAATATTTCATCAGTTTAGGATGTAGTCAGTTTTGTCAAGAAAGAAAATAGTATTGGTTTGTAAAAACGCTGAAGGCAAACACTTAATTTAAGTTGTGTTTTATCATTAGACTACAAGTCACTTTCTTTTCTTTTCACGTGTAGGCAGAAATTTATCGTTTTCCTTGCCTTTCCATTTTTCTCTTACTTTCTGCTCTCGGAAAAGTGATAAACTATTTGTGGTCTATGTTGTTACAAGATGTGGCTTCCAAAGCCTACATTTAAGATTTGTTAATGTAACAGAGAAAATAAAGGACAAATTTTACGAAAGAATTTTACTGCGTGTATTTCTTGGTAACATCAGGCGGTTCCTCTCGCAACTATTGCGACACAAATGTCTCCGGATGTCACTTCTCAGATTTATCTCCAGACGCCTCTCTTCCTTTGTTCGAAGGGTCATGGGGAAGACTCTCCTCTTTATGTGCTCCTTCTCATATCGTTCCTGATTGTTCCCAGTCTCCAATATCGACTGCAACTGGTCGCAAGACAACACAAAGTAAAAGATTTTTGTACCATGCAATTCATCTTTCAGTTTTCTTTCTCGGTTGCACGTTTCGGGCGTTTTTCAGGTTAACTCGGGCTCAGGCCACACTACGCGGGAGGAATTTGAAAACGGATCGGAGGTTTTCACCGAAAACGTATCAAATGTTTTCCGTCCACACTGGGCGGGAGAAATTTAAAAACGCAACAATCAGTGGTCATTTTGGATTTGTGTTTGAGGAAAACTCGGTCAGGGAAATCACGTGATTATCGTGACGTCATCGTTCTCGAAAAGCTCCGTTTTCAAAATGTTTTCCGTCCACACGAAAACGAAGAGCCGGCGTTTTGGCCGGAATTTCTCCAGCCGTTAGTTCCCCACAATAACGGTATGAAATGAAGTGGCTACGCGATGTGGGTAACACGAAATGTAAGACTGTCTTCAGTCTTTTAATAAGTCTCTTGTCCAGTAACCACACTGAACGCATCGAGAGAGGACAGACAAAATAACGAACCACCTTGAGATAGCCGGCCTGGCTGGATGATTTTACCTCTGTAACGAATGTCGACAACGTTTATTTGGAGCGAGTGGTTTCTGCAGACACTAAAAATACTTTCTAAAGTATATAACGTCCACAGCTATTTGAGGGACAAGAGCCCGTAAACGGAACTCTCCCATGTACAAAAGGAGAAAGCTTCAAGTGTAAGGATAGCCACAATAAGAAAGATGGTTTTTCTTTTTTGCTTCTTCTTAACGCTACAAAAGCGAGGATCAGTCTCCACAAGTGATTATCAACGCGTTTTGCAATCACTAGAAAGTACGACATAAATACAATTACCACTGACACAGACATACAACTAAAATAAATAGACGCGAACATGTACAGTGTTCTTTGAATTTGGGTTAAAAAGAAGAGAAGTAAATTTTTGTACAAAAAAATTGTTAAAAAAAGAAAAGAGACGAGAAGAGGACGACGAAGATGCAGTTCATTCTGTGATGATGAGTTCATCTATGGCCCAGTCTTCGTGGCTCCCATCTGGAAGATATCGGCGGATAATGATCGGAATTTTTCTTGCTCTGAAAAAAAGAATAAAAAAATGATATTTTTATGTCCTACTTGTTTAACATACATATGGGTTTTGCGGGATGCAGGATGAAAGTAAAAATGGAGGCGCGGTGCGAGATGATAGAAATTTCAATGGTGGGATGCGGGATAAAAATATTTTGGCGGGAGCTGGATTTGCTCATTTTAAAAGACGGGATGTGGGATAGTTTTAAAATTGACAGTGGGATACAGGATGAAAAACAAGATCACACGTCACGGATGGTTTTTTTTTAAATGCGAAAAACTGTAACTTTAACCAGGTGGGATCATGAGAAGCATTCTTGAGTGGGGCAGGATGGAGGGATTGAGCCAAAACTCTTGGCGGGGCTCGGGATCGAAAGTGCCTTTGTTGGATCCCCATTGTACGATTCCGTCATTTCAGCAGTTAGTTTCACGTTAGAGAAGACTGCTGAACAAAAAGCGCAAAAAACCAAGGAAACTAAGTAACTACACACTTCTGCATGAACAGATGTGTCTAAACTCACAAAGTCCGTGAGCAACACATTTGGAGACACTGAAGTTGAAGCACTGCTTTTTGCCACCATAATCTCAGTGGTGTTCTTTTCTAGTGCCCGTGACTTACATAACTAAGCTTTGTACACACATCAATTTGTGCGTTGGTTTTTGACTTACTTAAGTTCTTTCATAGCTATTTGTAAAGGATCTGTTTGACCTTCAAGTTCCACCATCACAGGAGCTCCCATACTGTGAATGTTAAAACATCAGAGGTGAGAGTTGTACCTGTTGCATGTATGAGGAGAAGATGTCTTTTCATTCAAGTAAACGTGAAATAAATCCAGGAAATAAATGAGAGGATTCAATAGTGCGAAGCAACAAAAATGTTGCTACTCTCCCCGGGACGGGTTGCTTGTGAGTTTCATCCATTCCAGGATACTCTTGACATTTTGACAGGTCGCTCAAGTTTACACTCTAAGGTGGTGAGAATAAAGTTTCTAACCCAAGAACACAACACAATGATCCTGGCCAGAGCTTGAACATAGAACATAGACTGCTCAAGCTCAAAATTTCTGTGTGGCAAAAGCGCTAATGAGCTCACACATTCTTTGTAAAATTTTGAGCTTTTAAACCCTCGTTGCACAAAAAGTATTCAATACATCGCGCTCAAATTCCTTGGGACAGTCAATCGTGCTGTGCCCTTTCAATATTCATTATTAATCTCTTTGTAGCTCCATCAGAAACTGTATCACTTATGGTAATGAGGCAAATATTGTAAACAAAGATTCTCTTATAGATTTTGACCGTTTTGGTCTGAAATAGGGTATGTTTTTCATGCTGGCTTGGCATCGTGCATTTTGTTACAAGGAACTATTTTTTCCACATCAATACTGACAAATTTTTAGCCCTTCAATCAAATGTTTACACAAATGGAAGCCATTTCTGCTTAGCTGCAGTTCTATATTGGAGCCGTGTACTAATTTTAGAGGTCTGGAGTGGGGTATGGATTTTTTGGCACAAGTTTGAAAGAGGGCATGGAAAATCACAAATTTTGGTCCGAAATGTATATAGGGGTTTCAAGGTTTGGGTCACACACCCCCACCAAACACTGGGGTGCACCCCACTGGGGGATCTAAGATAAAATTTAACAGTGAGTGCTTTTTGACGTGTTTCTACTCCACAAAATTTCTTTTACCAGTCTGAAGGATCTGTGCATTACGAGAGAACAATCCTTAGGTGTACATAACGTAGTCAATGATCAAGGGTTTGCAATGCACTATAGGGTGTTTCTTAACACAGTCAGCCATTTGGAAGTTTTCTGATCTGAGAGAATCAATACAGCAAATAGCACAGCAAAGCAAAAGGACGGATTGGCTCCTTTTCTTTTGTTGAATGTTTTAGAATGTTGAATGTTGAATGTTGAATGTTGAATGTTGAATGTTTCAATATGATTTTCTAGAAGGACACTATGTGTGACAAAATAACCGTTGTTGATTGTCAACACAGAGAAATGTAGTCGCCATTATGGGGACTAAACCAGAATTTTTGGTTGCCAAGGATGTTAGTTGCATTGGCGACCAATATGGTTGCAATTTCAAGCCCTGGAATGGCTTATAAAATACTATGTCTGTGTTAAGCCTGCAGCCTTTTTGTTTTTCTGGGGGCCATCTCTGGTTCCAACGTGGTATTCCCGCAATGGTGCAGTCTGGCGGAAACACTGTACATGTACCCTTAATAACAAGCTGGATTTTTGCTGTACCTTATCTGTAATGCTCGTGTCCCTAGAACTCTTGCCCTCTCATATTTGGTCATGTAGGGTGTTGTTATTCTTTTTGCTGGTTCTTGACTTTCTTCTAGAAGTTGAAGAAAAATGTTTCAGAATGTGCAATGTCATCTATTTTAATCAATCAAATATTTTTAACTCGCACTCAATTGGTCTAAATGTGTCACGGGACTGAATACTATGATTACCAATTGAGTAAGGCACAACAAACGTTTGGTGACCAGGTTCAACTTGTGTTATTGTCATAGGCAACTGGCTACATTTCCAGTGAAAATTTGTTGCTTCTTGGAACAAATAATGTTGGTGGACAAATATCCAAGCATAATTTTACTCCAAATGGAGGCTATTGTTTATACTTTATTTTTATCAAGAAATGGCCTCTGTATGAAAAGGAGGCCCGTCACAAAAATGTGGACATAAAATTGAATTTGCAACCTGCAAATAGCCTATTATCTATCATCATAGGCCCACAATACATACAGAGAGCTTTACTATCTAGCTCTCTGTATGCATTTCAGGCTTAGAATGATAGATAATAGAAATTACAAAACGAAACTGTGGACAGTTTTGCAACTGGATGAGTTTTGAAACTAATGCAAATGGTATGGTGTAATAACTGTAGCCTGGAGACTTGTGAGACATCAACAAAATTGTGTGACTACACTAAAACTAAAAAATAAGACTGAAGCTGGATTTTTTATTAGGTTACCATTTCCATTCTCAAGAGCTAACCCTAAACATGCTAACCAAAGGGCTATTTAGGGTGATTAGTGAGCAAGAATGTGAGCACTCTGGTAAACCTGAATGTTCAGCACTCTGGTTAGCTTGAATAGCTCACTGATTTGCCTCTCAGTTTGAGTTAATGGCAAGTCAGAAAATTATGCATGGTCTATATAATCTTTCTCTCACCTATCTTCTTCGCGCTCTGTTGTACATAAGGCCTATATGGTCTTTGGTGGGCTAAAAAAAAGTTGCTATTAAGATGTCATTGTTCATCTCTTTCAAGCCCGAATATTTCTTTTTCAGGCTTTAATTTTGCAACAGCTTACCAAGCTGTGTGTATAACTGCGATGATCAACCCTGTCTTCATATCTTTCTCTGCAGTTCAAATATATGATATTTCTTATATTCACTTGTAGTAATTGCTATAATTCTTAACAAACTGACCTGTGGCTGGCAAAATGTCAATATTGTCAGGGTCTTCTGTTGGCTAGAAAAGAATGTTGCAGATAATTAAATTGGCGAAATCTCCTTGTTTGGTTAATATTTGTGCATGAAAGAGGTAAGGTAGGTAGATAAATTAAAATCTGTGTAGGGGCCAAGTGGCCCATACTGTTGCAGCCTGGTAGTTTACCCCCGCATTAAATTCACCACTGTCCATTTATACACCAGAGTGGAGAGAGGCACCGAGAGAGTTAAGCATCTTGCCCAAGAACACAACACAGTGTCTTCGGCCAGGGTTCGAACCCGGACCGCTTGATCCAGAGCTGAGCGCACCAACCCCGAGTACACCGGCCATGCCTCCGTGTTGGAGCCTGGTTCCTCTGGCATTATTAAAGTGACTAGGATTACTTCTACTCCCCCTGGATACCTGGGTGTAGAGAAGCACTGTGAGAGTAAAGTGTCTTGCCCGAGAACACAATGCCATGTTCTAGGCGCCGCTGCACGATCACTAACTGTGCAAACAGCAAACCTCATCTTTCCCGCTGAACTAACCTCTAAGTCGTCTACATCTTCGAAATGGTCCTCTTCTTCGACCTCATCGAGGTCATCATCATATCTACGGTGAACAAAAGGCACATTACTTAAACTACGAGTTTCGAGCCCATTAAAATAGTTTTGTGTGTGTGTTAAGAAACGTCAGTTTTTGTTTAATATATCTTTACAATTTAACGACTTAAAGGAACATAGAAAATATTATCACTCGGTCAAAACCTCACTATGATACTTAGCTATTAGTAAAACGCATCGCTGTAATGATTGAACAAGAAGAAACACAAAAACGGCATTTTCTTTCGCTTACCCTTCCATGTCGTCGTCCGCCATTTTCAAACCAGAGCGCGAGCTTACAGTATTCTGGTCAGCAGCTTCACTTTTGGATCATGAGCAGAAGTCTCGATAGCCACGTGCGTTTGTTTTCAATATGGCGGCCGATTTGACTTATGAGGGTTGCAATTTCTTCCGACAAAGACTTGTTTTAGCGACGCTTAGCGGAAAATCGGTGAAAATTAAAAACATAAGGGCTATTGAAGATGATCCTGGTTTGAAAGGTGATGCCTTTTTCGTAAATTAAATGCAAAAATCGTGCCTTTATCTAATGTTTCTGCTTGTATTTTTTTGAAAGATTTTGAGGCTAGCTTTATACGACTGCTGGACAAGTTAACAAACGGATCTAGAATAGAAGTAAACGAAACAGGTAAAACTTACGTCACTCAAACATCGGAATTGATTGCCCGTCAGGTTTCTATTGTTAGATGATAAAGACTGATAAATACTCTTGATAAATACTGGAATAAATTTTGTCTCAACATTATATGTAAGCTTACATGTAAACGTGGTTAAAACTCAGTGAGCATTATATGAATCTACAGCTGGAGAAATGTTGGCTGTCCTCGTTTGTTCATGAGGATCGAGGCAAACTAGTGAAAGAGTAAAAACGGACAAGATCAATATTTCAACATCTCAAAGAGAAATGTTGCTTGTACAGACTACAGAAGTGTAGCTTTAGCAGCCTTTTTTGTCATATGTCTATTTAACACAGGAAAGGCTGCTGAAAATAGCTTGTGCATGCAAACAGTCTGGATAAAAGCACTTGTGTTCCAAGTGTAAAATTGTAGACCACTCTTTTAGCCAATCAATGGACTATATGCAGAGCAAAAAATTAATATCTATACTAATAGCCATTTTCAACTTTGTGTCACCTTTACAGGTACAACGCTCTTTTATAAACCTGGTTTGCTAGCAGGAGGTCCCATCGACCATGACTGCAATCCTCAACGTTCTATTGGCTACTACTTAGAGGCTGTGATATTACTAGCACCGTTTTGCAAAAAACCTATCAGACTGACTCTAAGAGGAGTGACAAATGACAGACATGATCCAACGGTATGTCAGTAATCCCTAAGTCATGGGATTGCTGTAAATATTGGATGTTTGATTGTTTGACAAGGAACCTTTTCATTGATTCTACAAGGTAATAAAATTATTGCCATGGCATTGACTGACATGCATAATTTTAGGTCGACATCATTAAAACTGTAACTATTCCTCTGGTAAAGAAATTTGTGGTTGATGATGAAGGACTTGATCTGAAGGTATGAAATCAGTACAAATTATCTGTTGTATGAGGAGTCACTGAGGGTTGGTTGGGGAAAAGGACTCTTGGTCTGCTTCTTGATTCTTCTCTTACATGTACTTCCTTTGCTTTTTCCTCTCAACCCAAGGTTTAACTTATTTTAACTCTTTTTAGTTATTTTTTGAAATAACCAGCTTAACTCATCACTGTACCTCATGGTGACCCCCACAGGGCAATAAGTTTAACCAACTTTAACTTTTGCAGATTGTAAAAAGAGGAGCTCCTCCTGAGGGGGGAGGTGAAGTGGTTTTCTCTTGTCCTGTAAGAAGAACCTTACGACCCATCCAATTTACAGATGCTGGTAAAATAAAAAGAATACGAGGTCTTGCGTATCCTTTAGAAAAGTATACATTTTTGAATAAAAACTAATAAATAACGATCCAGAGTCTAAATACTAATTCTCTGAATTACTTGTATTACCCTTAACTAGCATTTAATTTTGATTGGTTTATAAAGTTATGCGATGCGAGTGTCACCTGCGGTATGCAACAGAGTGGTAGATGCAACGCGTAGTGTATTAAATCAGTTTGTCTCTGATATCTATATTTATACTGATCACTGCAAGGGAGCTCAATCAGGAAAGTATGTCATGCTCATTTGTCTTTCTAATTGACAAGTAACATTTTGTTAAGTAACTGTGACGAAAAAACATGGCCTTTGCAGAAAGATCATATTGTACAGACAGCCGAATGTCAATGTGCAGTGCAAGTTGTGCATTGAGGAACTTAGAGAAGTTTGCAACACAAACCTGTCTTAGCTGTGAGATTTATTTAATGATAATATTGTTCATAACTGTTCTTTCATGCAGGTCACCAGGATTTGGCATCTCATTAGTAGCAGAAACCACAACTGGTGCCATGCTGAGTGTACAGACAGCATCCACCCCAGCAGGGGAGGGTAAGTCTGTTGTCCCTGAGGATCTTGGCAAGCAGGCAGCTGAAATGTTACTTGAAGAAATTTACAGGGTAAGTCACAGGCTAAAACAAAACCTTGCTTTACATTTTTGTGGCAATTTTACAAGAAAAGTTGTAAAAAATGTTGCTTGAGTATAACAGCCTTCAAGGTGGTGATGCTTACCTGATGTAAAAACAAGTTGTCATGTTGAATCATTTCTTTGCAAAATGTAGAACTTTATTCAACAGTCCAATATTCATGAAGTATTTATTTTGTTTTTGTTTTTTTCCTTCAATAGGGAGGTTGCATTGACTCTCGACATCAGAGTCTTGTGTTTCTCTACATGATCCTTGGACAAAGAGATGTTTCCAAAATACTGACTGGACCACTGACACCATACAGGTAAGAATTTACTAACTTTGCATAATGTAGAACCAGAACATATTGATGCTGAGTCAGGACAGTTGATAATGGAACATTTTTTGTGCTGTTTTTGGATTTGCTGTTTCAAAAAGTCTACTAAAGATCAGGCATTGACTACATCGTTTAATTGGATGGGTTGGGTGCAAGGACGTCGAGATGGAGGAGGGAGGTATGGAGAAGGAACTGAAAGTAGGTAGCCTAGGGGTAGGGAAAATGGATGTAGGAAGAGGGTGGAGGGACAGGGCAGGGATGGAAGAAAGGAAGAAAGATCACTGTTCTACATGTATTTATGTATGACTGTATTGATTTTGGTTATTTTGTAGCCTGTTTAATTAATTATTGTATTACTATTGTGTTTTCCTTTGCAAACAGCATCCAGTTCTTAAGGCATTTGAAAGAGTTTTTTGGAGTAATGTTCAAAATTGAAGCACAACAAGGTGATGACAATGACAGAGAGACAGGAGGAGAAAACAAAGTCCTGTTATCATGTGTTGGAGTGGGATACACCAACATCAACAAGGCAATGGTTTAAGTGTCAGACTATTTTCTAAATAATTCTGTAAAAATATAAATAAAAGAAAATAAAATGTTATGCAAAGTGGTAATAAATATTTGTTTATCTGGAACTAAGACACTCATGTCCAATATACCAGTTCATGAATAGGACTGTATGATTTGTCAAAAGTTGTAGTGAAGTTGATCCATTGATGATCTGTAAAATTATATTCAGTTTCTGATCTCGTTAACGTAATTTCACCATTGAATTGTACCAGGTGTCAAACTGTTTTACCCTCGGTACTCAGACTGAAATGCAACAATATTCTTAGTCCCACAATGACATGGAATGAATGGATTGTCAATCTCCACCATATTTGCCAAATGTGTAAATCTTATTAATAAGTGCACAGAATGGTAAAAACAACCATTTGTATGGAGGTGCAGTGGCCTCATGGTTAGTGCCCTAGACTGTGGGTTCAAGCCCTGGCCAAGGACATTGCCTTGTGTTCTTAGGCAAGACACCTTGCTCTCACAGTGCCCCTCTCTACCCAGGTGTACAAGTGGGTACTGGCAAATTTAATGCTGGGGGTAACCCTTCAATGGACTAGCATCCCATCCAGGGGGGAGTAGAAATACTCCTAGTCTCTTCATGCTATAGAAACCGGGATAAGCTCCGGCCGGATGGGCCACTTGGCTTGCATGCAGACTTTGCCTTTTTTACCATGAATGGTACAGATAGTATAGCTACTTTAACGAGTCATACTCATGATTTGTTTGTATTAGACTACCCTCAAAGTATGCATTACAATTTTAATTGCCAAAAGAACCATGAAAAAAGATATAAAACAATAAATTATTTTTTCCCAACTTGCTTCATGTCATTCTGTTTCTTTAGAAAGATCTCTGTCTCTTTGCTCTTGTAACTTCTTGGTGAGTTCGATTTGTTCCTTTAACTCCTCAACATTTCTCCTCTTCTTTTCCTGCCGCTCCAAATCCCTGATCACACCTTCCTTGAGTCTCCTGCGATCAATATTTTGCATCTGATGGACCAAGAAAATGACAGCAGCAGCAAAACAAAATGCTCCTCCTAAAGCAACTTTTGCTCCCCTGGAAATCATGATGCTGATTAATAGTCAAAATGATGTCATCACTTACATCCAAATGTATTTCTGAAAGTGCATAGTACTTCCTAAAAAGAAATTAGAAAATAGCCATCATTCCAAGAAATGTAACGTTCACCACCATCATCCCTGGGAGTTAAGCATGTGAAATTCAAAGACATTTTTCTACCCCAGGACAGAATAAAGGTTGGTCAGTTGACAAAACCAAAATCAAGACAAGCAACAAATAATATGAAAGACAGTCTGTACTGTTACTCTCATGTTTATTGAGGGAATGTCGGAGCGAGTTTGCAATACCGGCCCACTCATTAACAAATCTCTCAAATATTATGCTTCTAATTAAGAATGAAGCATATAGAAACAGAAGGAGCCATTCAAATTCAGTGAGATGCAAATGAGTGGCGTGGTATTCTACAATCTAACCGGAATGTCTCCCTCTTTTCCATTGAGGCCCCCCAAATTTCTCCCTCTCTTGGTAGCAAGCCCCCTCTTCCAAAATAGATTATGATGGGAAACAGGATATTTAGGCCAAAAATCAAATTATGGGATATGGTATGGTCAGACCGCCCATCTCCCAGCTAGTGGGGCCCTATTTTTCACTCCTCAACCCTACCACTCCCCTTTAAACGCCTCTGGATCCATCACTGATTTCGACCATTGCCCCCACCCACTGTGGCACATTTTACGCCTAGGTATTGTTGCATCGACTGGTGACAGACATGACTGGTACATCTGTACCCCTAATATGAAAATAAAACGGAAATAAAAAGGCTACTGTACCGACAGGCGCAAGCTGCCTCAAGACAACAAATTAGCGACTGTTGAAAGGAGGCAAATCGTTGTCAACACACTTGTTATCTTTAGGAGAGGGTAAACCCTAGTCATAACGTTCCAGAGAATTAGTCAAAAGACAGCAAAAAAAGGTGATATTTACCATTTCAGATGGTCACGCATTTTGTTTCTTTGAAGCCGCCATCTTGATTACGCCGCGCGCATGGCATGATGGGAAGTCCGTTGCGCTTCGCAAAGGAAAAGGAACCACGCTTGCTTAGCGTCCACCATCTTGATTGTTGTTTTGGAAAGGCGCGGTGACTTAGCAAGATTTCGACTTTCTTTGCTTTCTGAGGTAGGAATTTATGATCAACAATCTTGAGAATGGAACTGGATCATTTTAGTACGATTTTATGGGGAATTACGACCGAAATACATGGTAGATAGATTAAGGGGCCTGTGGTTTGGGTTGAGCTGTTTGTTGATTTCATTGTGTTTGCTAATAAGCGTCAATTTTATCCGTTTTCTCGTAAAATCTACGGTTTCGCTCGGTTCGAAAGTCAGGTGTAAACACTGATGTTGACATTCGCTTTGATCGAGTCCTTGTTGCAAAAGAAGACCGAATAATTCGATCAGCTAATATTAAGACCGTATAGTAGATAGTTAGCTAACGGCTTCAGTCTTATTAAAAGTTTTCGGAAATTTTCCTTTCTGACTGAACTAAGACAAGAATAATTGTTTTTTATGAAGAACTCTCCAATATGATCACTTATCTATTATAGTTAAGGTCACGAGAAGTGGAAACATGTACAATTCAAGCGTAAAATTTCATTGGACGTTTTCTTGAAAAGCAGAAAAGAGCATTCTGCATCTTGCATAAGTTATTTCCTCATCTTCAAACCCTGACCCTTGTTCTTTCCACCAGTCTTAATTCACTAAATGTATGCAAATTATGAGAAGCAAATTGTAAAAAGCAGATTTTGTATGCTAAAAGTCTATGGAGACTCCCATATAAGAAGAATGGGGGTGTTTGTCATACCTTTTTGGGGTTAAAAAAAGTGGTTTTTGGTACCTCTTGAGGTGCTCAGCCTCAAAAGGTCCATAGTGGGAGCTTTAGCGTAACCTTTTAGGGTATTGAGCCAAAAAAATATGACTGAAGACATATGACAATCAACTCTACGAGTAAAAGCCAGAAAGCAGTGATGTCTGTTCCGGACAGCCCAAAGTTTTGTTCTATTTGTTCCTGACAGAGGACATTTAATTACCTTGTAAAGTCCACTGGATATATATATATGAAAAAATAAAATGCAAATGTCATGATTTTTAGTTCATTTGTCAGGAAGCAAAAGTAATTTGGTGGCCTCATGGTTAGTGTGCTTGTCTCCACATTGAGCAGTCTGGGTTCGAGCCCTGGCTGGGGACAACATGTTGTGTACTTGGGCAAGGGTCTTCACTCTCACAGAGCCTCTCTCCACCCAGGTGTATAAATTGGTACCGGCGAACTTAATGCTGGTGGTAACCCTGTAATGGACTAGCATCCCATCCAGGGTGGGGGGAGTAGAAACACTCCTAGTCGCTTCATGCTACAGAAACCAGGATAAGCTCTGGCCTGAGGCCACTTGGCCCATATACAGCTTTACCTACCTTACCTCTTTGACAATTCTTTGAACTATAATTTAAGGTGGGGTACCTCACTGGCAACCATGACCCTCAAAGCTATTATAGCACTTAAGATATATCTATCTCTTTCCATTCTTAGACACCCTCATAGGTTTGTTTCACTGTTACAGACTGCTGGCTGGGCTCATGTTGTTCTGTTTCTCAACAAATGAAGACAATTCACTCTCAATGGCTCTCTCCTGCTACCCTGCAATAAAAATAATTTGGAACCATCAAACTGTTAGGCTGAAATGCTTTGGGTGGCCTGCAATGGGATAGCATCTTGTACCTTAAACAACCACCCAACCCCCAGCCTTCTCGCTGCTCTAAAAATTCTTTTGATAGACATTTTGTTAAGGCCAAGGTTACGTGTATATGGGTTATTGACCAAGCTCGTTCAGTCAAGATGGCTGAATGTTGGCCAAGTTCTTTTTTGCGTGTTTATTGACCTGCCAATAAACCTCGCAGCAAACCGTAGTGGTTGGAAAGAGAATGTCAAAGCCTTATGTGCCTTATGGCATAAAGAGATATAGGATATAGGATAGATGGACCTGGCAATACCCAGCCATCTTGACTGAACAAGCTTGGTTAATAAAGAATTTATTATATTGAAAAAGAACACTGTTTTCCTGCAGGATACAGTGGGTAGGTAATCCCGAGTGGGCAAGATAGCACCATCTTGCCCACTTGGGTAGCTAACAGCACAGGACTCTCGCCATGGGGACTGAATAGGAGAGGACCCTGGGAACATGGTTGAGGCGGATTTGGTTCATCTTGTCTGTTCATGGAGCTAGCCACATAATAAGTCAAGTTATTTACAGCATTTGGGTTTGAATCCTTTCTCTTTCATGGCCATGCCACATGCTAGCTTCAGGAACATTAAAACTCTGGTTCAGAGTTTAATTTGAGCATTGAGATGTTGACCTTGTCTTGTTGATTTCCAAATTATCCAAATATCAACCTCAGTGTTGTGGTGTTATAATCGTGGTTACCATGGGTAGGGTGGTTGAGTTGATATTAAAATAAATTTTCATATTTTGCATTTTGTAGTTTTTGAAGAAATTGATGGTCAAAGTGAGAACAAAGAAGGTTTCAGCTATGTCAAGTGAAGAAGAAGCTACTGCTGCTAATGTTTTGTCGCAGATGTCTCAGATTCAGCAGATAAGCTGTGAAACTATTGAAGCAACAGTTATTAATGTTGGGCATCACTGTGATGTTGAGACCACTGCTACTCAAGGTTACTGGAACTTCTTTTTTTGTATTGTGTATGGCTATTTTGCCACACACACTCATCTCCAGTGCACTGGTTTGCTTAATTAAACAGCATCATACTGGTTATTTCTTTGTGAGGGAGGGGGTTTGGGGGGGGGGGGAGCAGCACAGGTCAGGTGAAATTATAGTCAGGGAAATATACACTCCCTTAGGGTCAATAAATAGTAGGGGAATTTGTACCTAGTCAGATACTGATAATAAATTTCATGTTTAGGTGAGGGAAGTTTATTTCAACTTTGTCCTGCAAGTGACTGTTGTCGATAGTTGGAATTTTTGTTAAAGGGTGTTATGTGTTGTGAAAAACTGAACAGTGCTTTTGTTGGTTACATTAGCTTTGATTTGCCATAAGTAGCAAAATGTAGGATTCTGTTTACACTTGGGGTATGGACCATTGGGGAATGAACCTTTAAAAGCAGGTTAATGATGACAGAGTGTTTTCTGATAAGAGGTGGGGTGTGCATAACAATGGAACATCAAACTGAATGTCTATAATTCTCACTTTGTAGTGATGGAGATCGTACAATCTGACGTTCAAGATGAAGATGCCAGTGAAGTACTCCGACAAGTGCATTCAGCTGTGCAGACAATGCAGCGCCCTGCTGTTGTAGATACCAGTGAACAAGTGCATGCTCAGCTGGAGACTGGTGATGTTGCCATTATGCCCGGGCCAGGTGATTCCACACCAGGTATGTTTCCAAGGAGCAGGCAACTGTTTACTCCACTGATAAATTAATAAAGATGGTGAATTTTAAGCTCGGTAGTGAAATGTGAAGGTGAATTAATCAACAAGACACGAGCGTGGGACAAAGAAAAATTCTGAGTCCCCG